AAAAAAATGGGAGGGGAGTAGGAATAACCCTAAAGTTTTAGCAAGAGAACAGTTAAATTCTAGACATTCATACTAAGGAAATTTGTAGTCATTAAAAATGATGCCTTCTGAAAATAACAACATGAGAAATGCTTATGATAAAATAGCCAAAAAAAGGGATGTGAAATTTTATGTACAAATCCAATATTGTTAGTTTCTTTGAATGGTGGGATTATAGGTGATTTTCATTTTTACTTCTTAAACCTTTATAATGACAATTTAATTTATAATTTTAAAAAATTATTTTAAGTGTCCTAGAAGAAACCAAAACATATTTCAGTCAAAAGAATTTTTCTCTGACCTCATAAGAACATTTCATAATTTTATTTGCATAAGAAGCTCCATAATAAGTGTTTAGTTTGTCTTCCAATAAAATCATAAAACTGATAATTAAAATGTTTATTTATGGTATAAAATTAAGCAGTTGGCTAACAACATTTATTCATTTAATCAAATTTATGAAGTACCTAAGTGCCCAATATTATTTTACCAGGACCTAATAACTCAGCTAGAAAATTAAAAATGCCAACAAAACAAAACTACACCAAGACAAAACTACACATAGATAATATATTAGGTAATTGTGAGCTGGATTTTGAAAGAAGTAACCTTTCATAAATGACAAAGTTGACAAAGGGGGCAAATATGTCATATTCAAAGGTACAAAGATGAATACATGAAACCAATATATAGAAAAAGAAGCAGATTAACTCAAATTTGAGGGTCAATGGATAAAGGAAACTATGAGAAATTAGGTGACTTCACTGAGCAGGAGAAGAGAGTTTACTGTGTAGGGAGGGGATATAGTTGTAGATTAAGTTGTTATTTAAATCTTGAACTATGATGGTATATCATCAACTACCATGAGCTGCTCCTGAAGGAGAAGAATCACATTGCTGAATGTATTTCTCTGAAATTTGTGTGTTGAAATCTTAACCTTCAAGGTGGGATCTTTGCGAAATGATTAGCTTATGGGAGCAGAGACCTTGGTGAATAAGATTAGTTCCTTTATAAAAAAAA